AAAACCCCAGATTAGCCCAAGCCTTGCCTGTGGGGTTTATTTACCTCTGGCCCATCTGATGGCGTAATTTTTACATACCCATAGACTATAGTAATAAAATCGGGTTTCCGGGCCTTTTATTTTTTTCTCTTTCTACGTTTTAGTATATTGTGTCTTCCCGTCTTAGGCTTTCCAGCACCGAAGAAGCAGCAGGCGACTGCTTTGTACAAAATTCGTTGGTTTCTCACTCTTCGAAATACTGCTAAAAGAATAACTATGTCAACCTCCAAACTTACAGTATTTGGCGAGGACACCAAAACTTGCCAAGCAAAGCCTGACTGATGATGCTGTTCACAATTCGGTATGTCGATAATTAGTAAATAAAATATGGGCAAGTGGGGCGCACATCAGGTTACCGGTCCAGACCTGACACGGTCTTCCGACGGTCTTCCGACGGTCGATAGGGAGGTGCTAGGAGGTAGAGATACAGTTGGGCATGTGCTACTGTACCTTCCCAATTTTTGACAGTCATCTTTGATGGCGGGGGCCATCAACCAAGAAAGAAGAGGGAAAAAAATTAAAAAAGCCTTTTCTGACCCCACCATGAGTCGAGAGAGTCGATACCGGCCAACTGATAAAGGTGGGAAGGCGGGGTGATAAGGGGTGCACTAGGGGTGTGTGTCTAGATAGTGGAAATGTTGACGTTGCTCAAGATCTGCGAGTACATATTGACTTTAACTTCAAGATCTACAATAGTGAGTGGTAAAGATGTCTACAAGCCACAGCAAAACTCCATACAAAAGCTGAGAGATCAACCTACCTCGAAAAACCACGTATGTAAATAAACATCAGAGTTACTAATATATACCTTAGGTATGCGGTAATATAAAATTACAAAATTTCAGCATGGCCACACTTGCCAAGACACATAGTAGGCCACAGAAATGCGAGGTGGATGTTTGTACGTGTTCTAAACGTAAAAGAGTGCAGAACCAAAAACCCAAAGGTAACACAAATGAAAATATATACTTACAGGATAACAGTAATAACGAGCATACCTCGAGAGTTTCATTTCTCGCAACGACCATATGACAAGGCTGAGTACTTATAATGATATATGAGAGTCACATCGAGTCTGAATACATCCAAGTCTCGCCAGTACCTACCTAATAACTCTCACTTGTTTGGGCAGTTTTCTTCTGTAGCTGCTACCTGAAGGCTCTAGAAGTTTCGTACACGGATTTCTAGCGCTTTTTCTTCTTGGCGTACCCTCAGGAAACAGGGGCGTGGGACTAAGGAGGGGTCGCTGTGAGGCTAGGTAGCCCAGGCCCAAAATTTTGGCTACAGCACATTGTCCCCTCCTCCCACTTCCCACTGCCTTAAGTCTAAGTATATACCGGTTGTGCGCATTTGGGCAGCTTTTTATTTATTTGGTCAAATCTTTGTTCGCCCGCCTTATTGTGAAACTCTTCAGAAAAAAGGTCGATTGGCAAAGCAGAAATTCTACACCTCAGTTTTCCAATACTTGACAAACTTGATCAACAACCCCGCCTCAATACCTTTCTGTCGCTTGCTTTCAGACTTCTTCTTCAAGTTGCACATTTCTCCCTGCATCTTTCCACACCGATCTTCTACCGGAATTTAAATCGCAATACCACACCCGTTCTACGTTCACTCACTACTCAGACAAGATGTCTGTCGTTGGTACGTCACCTCTTGCTTTTAGACGCATTCTTTGGGCGCAGATGCGGGTTCAGTTTCGTGTTATGTTTTTAAGCTTACTGTACTCTACTAACTCGTCCTGATTTTAGGTGTTGATTTCGGGACGCTCAACACAGTCATTGCTGTTGCGAGAAATCGCGGTGTCGACGTTGTACGTATTCTCTATCGATCACTCCCTCGATTCGCCGGATCGTACCTTGCCAGCAAGGTTAACTAACCGCTCCCATGGTTTAGATCACCAATGAAGTCTCCAACCGCGCGACCCCGTAAGTCGAAAAGAAAAGTACCCAACGCCTGACACTCAAACTAACTTAGAGTTCCAGTTCTCTAGTGGGCTTTGGTCCTAAGTCTCGCTATCTCGGAGAGCCCGCCAAGACACAAGAGATCTCGAATCTGAAGAACACCGTCGGCTCCCTGAAGCGTCTCGCCGGACGGACACTCAAGGACCCCGATGTCCAGATCGAACAGCAATATGTCTCTGCGCCTCTAGTTGACTGCAATGGTCTGGTTGGCGCCGAGGTTTCATACCAGGGCAAGAAAGAGAAATTCACGTCCACTCAGCTTGTTGCCATGTTCTTAAACAAAGTCAAGCAGACTGCTGCTGCTGAGCTCAAACTTCCCGTGGCCGATGTCGTCATGAGTGTGCCCCCCTGGTTCACCGACATTCAACGAAGGGCTCTGATTGATGCTGCCGAGATTGCTGGCCTCAAGCCGCTCCGGATCATGAATGACACAACTGCCGCCGCCTTGGGCTACGGTATCACAAAACTCGACCTTCCCGCCCCAGAGGAGAAGCCGCGCCGCGTCTGCTTCATCGATATTGGTCACAGCAACTACTCTGCCTCTATTGTCGAGTTCAAGAAGGGCGAGTTAGTAGTCAAGTCTACTGCATATGACCGCCACTTTGGTGGCCGTGACTTCAACCTTGCCTTGGTCAACCACTTCCAGAAAGAATTCAAGGGCAAGTACCGCATTGATATCGCGACCAACCCAAAGGCCCTGGCCCGTGTCGAGGCCGGCGCTGAGAAGCTCAAGAAGATCCTATCCGCAAACCAGCAGGCTCCTTTGAACATCGAGTCTCTCATGAATGATGTTGACGTCAATGCTATGGTTACACGCCAAGAGTTCGAGGCGCTCGTTGAGCCCCTGTTGAACAGAGTCGCCGCGCCGTTGGAACAAGCCCTTGCCGATGCCAAGTTGACCAAGGATGACATCGATTACATAGAGCTCGTTGGTGGCAGCACCCGTGTGCCGGCTATCAAGGAGAGGATCCAGGCCTTCTTCGGCAAGGGCTTGTCCTTCACCCTCAACCAGGATGAAGCCATAGCCCGTGGCTGCGCTTTCGGCTGTGCCATTCTATCGCCTGTCTTTAAGGTCCGCGACTTCGCTGTCGCAGATATCGTCACATACCCCATCGAATTCTCCTGGGAAAAGGATGTGGATATACCCGACGAGGATACTAGCCTTACTGTCTTCAACAAGGGCAACATGCTACCCTCGACAAAGATCTTAACCTTCTACCGCAAACAGCCTTTCGACCTTGAGGCGCGGTATTCTAAACCAGAGGATTTGCCCGGCAAAGTTTCCCCCTTTATCGGACGATTCTCTGTTAAAGGTGTCAAGGCTGACCCTAAATCCGAGTTTATGGTATGCAAACTTAAGGCCAGAGTTAATATCCACGGTATTCTGAATATCGAGACTGGCTACTATGTTGAGGAAGAAGAAGTCGAGGAAGAAGTAAAGGACGAGAAGAAGGAAGACGGTGACAAGAAGGACCCCGATGTAAGTTTGGACTATGGTTCCGCTACGGTTCAACCTCTGCATCCTTCTACACCATGATTTCCATCGTACTGTTGGCTAACCCCTACTTCCAGGCCATGGAAACCGATGACAAGAAAGACGACGGCAAGCCGAAGACGCGCAAGGTCAAGAAGCAAGTCCGCAAAGGAACGCTGCCTATCGTCTCTGGAACTACCTCTCTCGATGACTCCACCAAGAACGCCCTGCTCGAGAAAGAGGCGGCCATGCTTATGGAGGATAAGCTGGTGGCTGATACGGAAGAGAAGAAGAACGAGCTCGAGACTTACATCTACGATATGCGTAATAAGCTAGATGATCAGCTGGCCGACTTCGCTAGCGAAGAAGAGAAGGACAAGCTAAGAGCCAAGCTCACTGAGAGCGAGGTAAGTAGATTGAACACTAATCCTTTGATTTTGATCACACCGTTGCTGACCTTGTATAGGATTGGCTGTATGAGGAGGGCGAGGATGCCACCAAGGCCGTTTATGTGGCTAAGATGGACGAGATCCGTGCCATGGCCGGCCCTATCAATCAGAGATATTTCGACAAGGTCGAGGCTGATCGCCAGGCCCTACAGGCCAAGCTTGACGCTGAGGCTGCGGCGAAGAAGGCCGCCGAGGAGGAAGCTCGCAAAGCAGGCGAGGGTCAGAAGGGCGACGGACAAAAGGATGAAGAAATGACGGACGCGGAACCCGCCAAAGCGGATAAGGAAGAGGCTGACCCTTAGAATCTCAAAGCTTCTCTGATTCCGGGTCTGGAGGATATGTTTTGAAAATGTCGCGCGCTTCGGAACCATAATGGCCAGGGGAACGAAAAGAACTAATGGCTGGGATATTGCTGAAGGGAACGGGAAAGGCCCCCTACTGCGTGCGGGGTGTTTCGTCCCAATGCTGGCCGGATATTGTAGTTCGAGAGGCGAACTACAACGGCTCAAGCAATATCATATTCGGCCACCTGTAGACATGAGATAGACAGACATTATCAGATTATTAGGAAAGGGTATGATCACGACTCTTATGCCATAATTGAGTCTTTACTTCTATATATCTCTGGATATACTTGGGCGCCCTGTGAAATGTTCAGCTCTAATATTGAAAAAGCACGTGTTGTATAGCACCTCGTAACCTAGGTAGTTATCCTTTATCCACTATTACCTGTCTTTATGTTGCCAGTAGTCACTTTTGGGAACTATGTACAAAAGACCAGTTACAGCCACTTGAACCACATACCGGCCTTACAAACCAACATGTTGTTTGCTATGTAAACACCAATGATGCTATCTCTTCCGCTCTCGTTTGATGGCCTCAGCTAGGTATTGAACAAAAACCTTAAGTTTTCGATTTGGCATAGCGGAGGGATGTCCTGTCTGTCCTACCTGAGTCATGTTCCAACGCACACCGCCTACAACTTAAGCTAGCTCTTGTTTTCTCTACCCACAAGAGTTTATATACCTTGTTAGATATCGTATTCTCCATACAAGTTCATCCCGAGAGGGAATGGGCCTCGTGGCCTAATGGCTAGGGCGCTAGATTTCGGTTCCTTTCCATCTTGCTCTAACAAGGAGTTTAGAACAGAAATGATATATCTGATTCTCTAGAGATTGTCGGTTCGAGTCCGGCCGAGGTCGATAGCTAACTTTTTGCTGACACTTTGTTTATACCGGTGTATTATAATAGCAATAATTATTCTTTTATCTTCTATTATTATAATAAAGTAGGTTAGCTGTCTTTGATTTAAGCATCGCGATCGAATTCTACAAAAAGGAGCAGGAGCAGGCGCAGCTCGCAACCAACGCGACGGCAAAGGTGGGGTTTATTATCGATAAGTGATAAGTAGTTGACCTACTCGCTTAAACTCCTATCGGTCGCATTGTAGGCTCGGAGTTTGTCTATTGTTTCCGGGTAACGCCTGGAATGAAGGCAAAAATACCACAAATTTATTTTTGGCCACCGGAACTGTGCAACTCCCCGCAGCGTCATAAGTCGGCCGGCCGCTCTGACTCTCTGCGTACCTTATCTTTTACACACCACACTGAATCCTCATTGAACGCTGAGTTTATTCTGACTCCACTGAGGTACAGTACCCTCTTTACCTACTGAACGGCCCTAACCCTTCTAACGTCTGTCCAATGAGCTAGTGCTGGGGATTTCCTTCCACCTGCAATCTCTTTTGGCTTTGGCAGCAATACTTTCTTACAGCAAGACAAGGCAGCCAATGTCCAGGGGCAATTCGGGAACTGAACATCTCAATTTTCGACCGACTTTGCTAGCATCTCAGATTGCACCCCACTTCCACTCTCTTTGGTGCACACGTTAACCTTGTCGCCCATCCATCGTTGACAACTTACTTTATTATCTGTTGCTCCTACCTTCGTCCCTCTTGCCTTTACCGAGTAAAGCTAGATAAAGACTTAAAACAATACCAATATGGCGCCTAAGAAAAAGGGTGGTAAACAGGCGGCGGACGACTGGGAGGCCGACCTCGGCGAGACTATAGCACCGGCAAATGGCGATGCTGCGCCGGCCGATGCTCCCGCCGACGGTGCGGGAGATGAGGAACAGGAAGGGGACGCCCCCGTCGGTGGCCTTATGGCCATGATGAAGAAGAATCGAGAGAAGCGAAAGAAGAAGGGCTTGTCAGAAAACTTCCACGATGGTGAATCCGCCGAGCCCACCACCCCAGAGCCTACCGGGTTCCAGGCGCCCCAGGAAGCCAACGTTGAAGATGAGTTTGCCTTGCCGGAGAAGAAAGGAAAGGGGGGGAAGCAGAACAAGAACCAACCTGCCGCCAAGGCACAAGCGGCGGCCCCAAATCCAGACGATGTGGACTCATCGGGTAGAGTGCTTACCAAAGCCGAGAAGGAGAAGCTGAAGAAGGAGAGAGAGAAGCAGCGGAAAAAGGAACAGGTGAGTACAAACGATGCGTTGGCCATAGGCTCGGCTGCTTGTACTTACTCTCTCGTCTAGGCTGCCAAGAAGAAGACCCCCGCGCCCGCCGCCAAAGTTGCCGAACCTGCCAAACCTGCTGTTGAAGAGAATACAGACACCCCCGCTCCTGCGCCCGCGGCAGACGATTCAGCCGGTAAGAAGGGTAAAAAGCTACCTCCACATCTAGCGGCCATCCAGAGGCAGCAAGAAGAGTTACGGCGACAGCGCGAAGAAGCCGAAAAAGCGGCAGCGGCCGAGAAAGCCCGCCTTGAAGAGCTAGAGCGACTTGACGTCGAGGAGCAAAAGCGAAGAGAAGAAGAGAAGGCTCGGAAGAAGCAAAAGGAGAAGGAGAAGATTGAGCAGCTGAAGAAGGAAGGCAAATATCTCACTAAAGCCCAGAAGGAGGAGAAAGCTCGCAATGAGAGGAAACTACAACAGATGATTGCTGCTGGTCTTATTGTTGGGCAAGCTGAAGAGGCCGCGGAGAAAGAGAAGAAGGAGAAGCGGAAAGCGGACTTGAAGAAGCGAGGGAAGAAGAATGATCAAAAAGTCGGTACCACGGTCCCAATATTCTTCGATCCATAATGGCTAACCTTTGTTTTAGGTCGACGAAGAGAAACTTCTAGCCGAAGCTGCCGAGCGGGCGAGATTACAAGCGGAAGCTGCGGCAAAGGAGGCGGAAGAAAAGGCTGCTAAAGAGGCTGCGGAGAGGGAAGCCGCTGAAGCTGCCAAGAAGTCCAAAGGACCAGAAGAAGAGGTCGAGGAGGACTGGGAGGCTGCCGCAGCATCGGAAGATGATGTCAAGGATAGCTGGGATGCCGACTCGGAAGAGGAGGCTGAAAAGAAAGCCGCTGCCAAGGAAGCCAAGGAGTCGGGCAAAACCTTGCCCTCGCGGCCCAAGGGCAAGCAGTCCGGATCGGAGTCGGAATCCGATTCAGAAGAGGAGTCATCGGAAGACGAGGAGCAGTCAGCAGCGCGAGCCGCGATTGCCCAGCGCAAGAAGGAAGCTGCCGAGCGTAGGGAGAAAGCTCACCAAGCCGCCTTGGCTGCGCGGTCCAAGGAAAATCTCCGCAGTCCTATTTGCTGTATTTTGGGTCACGTCGATACTGGCAAGACCAAACTGCTGGACAAGATTCGTCAGACCAACGTGCAGGAAGGAGAAGCAGGTGGTATTACGCAGCAGATCGGTGCAACCTACTTCCCTGGCGAGGCTATCAAGCAGAAGACAGCTGTTGTGAACAAGGACGGCAAATTCGAACTGAAGGTGCCGGGTCTCCTGATCATTGACACACCTGGTCACGAGTCGTTCTCCAACTTGCGTTCCAGAGGTTCGTCGCTTTGTAACATTGCCATCCTGGTGGTCGATATCATGCACGGTCTCGAGCCTCAGACGCTCGAGTCGATGAAGCTGCTTAGAGACCGCAAGACGCCATTCATCGTAGCACTGAACAAAATCGATCGTCTATACGGGTGGAAGAAAGTGGACAATAACGGATTCCAGGAGAGTCTGGCCCTTCAGAGTCGAGGTGTGCAGAATGAGTTCAAGAACCGTTTGGACCAGACGAAGCTTGCCTTTGCCGAACAAGGGTTCAACGCCGAGCTTTTCTACGAAAACAAGTCCATGGCCCGATTCGTCTCGCTGGTGCCGACCTCGGCCCACACGGGAGAGGGTATCCCCGATATGTTGAAGCTCATTCTCCAGCTGACGCAGGAGAGGATGGTTGGCTCGCTCATGTACCTCTCCGAAGTGCAGGCCACGGTTCTCGAAGTCAAGGCGATCGAGGGTTTCGGTATGACTATCGATGTCATCCTGTCCAACGGTATTCTTCGGGAAGGCGATCGGATAGTGGTGTGCGGTGTTGAGGGAGCCATCACCACCAACATCCGAGCACTGCTTACCCCAGCAGTGATGAAGGAACTGCGTGTCAAGTCGCAGTATGTGCATAACAAGGAAGTAAAGGCGGCAATGGGTGTCAAGATCAGTGCTCCTGGCCTCGAAGGCGCCATTGCTGGTTCTCGACTGCTTGTGGTGGGCCCTGACGACGACGAGGAAGACCTGGAAGAGGAGGTCGAGTCGGATCTGAACAAGCTATTCAGCCGCGTGTCCACGTCAGGTCGTGGTGTCAGCGTCCAGGCATCCACACTTGGTTCCCTAGAGGCCCTTTTGGATTTCTTGAAGGACTGCAAGATTCCTGTGGCCAACGTTGGTATCGGCCCCGTGTTCAAGCGTGATGTGATGCAGTGCGGTACAATGTTGGAGAAGTCTCCCGACTACGCAGTCATGCTCTGCTTCGACGTGAAGGTGGACAAGGAAGCACAGGCTTACGCAGAGGAGAATGGCATCAAAATCTTCACCGCGGACATTATCTACCATCTGTTTGATGCTTTCACGAAGCATATGGAAGTACAACTCGAGAAGAAGAAGGAAGAGTCCAAGCTACTGGCAGTCTTCCCTTGCGTACTCCACACAGTGGCCGTCTTCAACAAGACTAACCCTATCGTCATCGGTGTCGACGTTGTAGACGGTGCCCTGAGAGTCAACACGCCCATAGCAGCTGTCAGACAAAATGCGACAACGGGTGCTAGAGAAGTCGTCAGCATTGGCCGAGTGTAAGTATTCCTCCTCAACAATATATGCTTAGATCAAGAGCATATTCGCTAACAAGGTCGCAGAACATCCATCGAAAGAGATCACAAGCAGATCCCCATCTGCAAGAAGGGACAGCCCTCTGTAGCCATTAAGATCGAAATGGGCGGACACCAGCCTACCTACGGCCGCCAGCTCGAGGAAACCGACCAGTTATACAGTCTGATTTCACGAGCCAGCATCGACTGTCTGAAGGAGTTCTACCGGAAAGATGTCACAAATGACGAATGGGCCCTCATCATCAAGCTCAAGCCCCTGTTCGACATCAACTAAAGTTATGAAATAAGCCAAGGCGAAAAAATATATTTAGGAATGGGCATGAGCGGACGGGTGGGATAAGAGAAGAGAAGGGCCGGCCATCCGGGTTCTCTAGCGGCATGGTTTCAATCCCATGTAGCTATAGCTGATACGATACATGCATGTATTTTGTTGTTCTGTTTTTGTTTTAACGACTCCAGCGCAAAAAGAAAATGAAGCATCTTTTATTTTATAAAAGGTATAAGGTAGGAAGAAGTGTGGGTTGGTAGGGTGAAAGCGGGTGGAATGGAAGGCAGGGACGGGAAACAAAACGAAATGCATGCATAATTTCTATAGTTTTACTCTACTTTTCTCTACTAGTAGTACCTTTACCCTGAAAAGATGACGAGTTTCGCTACCCTTACCCGCATACTTATTTCACCTTAAGCCGACGTAATTCGGGCGGAAGAGAGGGAAGAGAAAAAAAGAATTTCGAAACAAGCGTTTCAAGCAAGAAAGGGACAGGAAGACAGTCATATAAGATTTCATGATTTTACTCACTCCTAACAACCTTCTTGTTTCGTTTGTTTCTACTTACAGCCATCCCAACCCATCCATCCGTCCCTCCTAGACAAGACAAGAACTTCCCACACCCACTCCAACAAAACAACGCGACCCTTTACTTAAAGAGCCGGGGCGAGATAATACTCCAATATGCCATAAACATATTCAAACACCCGCGTCTCGTCATCATCATCGTCGTCCCAGGTTTCTTCTTCTTCTTCTTCTTCCTCCCCTGGATTACTACCAGCTTCA